AATCTGCATTAGTTCTGATATCTTCCGTGTCGTTCCAACCCGACGAATACGCGTAGCAATACTTTGCTGGCTGGGGTATTTTTACACCGAAATATATTATTTCAACCTTGAGCATCGAAATAGTGCTGAAGCTTAATGTGCTTCTCCTTATTCACATAAATATTTTTTAAATTTTTACTTCTAGTTGACCGTATTAATTAAAATTCATCTGATATCTATACCTACCTTTATTAATAGCATATGTGCAATTTCTGCTTTTCCGCTTCCGCCAATGTTTCCATTGCTTCAACAGAAAGGAATGCACGTCATTTAACGTTTAGTTTCATATTAAAAATTAGATATTGCGTAAACTGACCTCACTAGGAACTGGATGAGTACTGGCTTGATTTTGCGATTGCTGTATTCAGCTTAGAGGTCCTCGAAATGTATTGTTATTCCCCTATACAGATTAGTATCATCAATATTACGGAATCCCCTCAGCCGCATCCAGGTCGAGCTCATCAACTACAAGCTACAGTCATCTAAATAATTATTTCCTCCCGTGACATTTCTTCCACCAAAGATAGACTCCAATCAACATAGGAGAGCTCGTTTGTGACCTGAGGCAGTCGTGAAGCTACACTTCAATCGTACCTTTCAACGGTCTATTTACAGAAAAAAACGCAGCTTCCACGACAGTATGAGACGATTAAATATTTTCTAGAAGCCATGGAGCTTAGTAGATCCCTGAACTCCAATTTAAGGATTACAGACTACTGAGATATGAATTCTTAGTTAAAATGTGATACAAACCAGCTAATCACTTTTACCTTTTTTTTATTTTAGGCTTTGGAGCGAGCAAAAGAGCAGCTTACAATGTCATTTCTTAAGTGACTTTATTTTAATACGATATAATCCTTAAAATGAGGCCTTTTTACTTAAAGTAGTAGTAGTAAATTTCGTCCGGCTTCACATAACAGAACGCATCGGGATCGCGACCGGATTTACTTCCAAGATTACATATTGCCACTCGGTCAGATTTCCCAAGTCGCACCGAGCCTCAGGCCATGGAAATTATTCTAGCGCGGACAACTGTAGTAAGGATTAACCAGTATCTCTAGATACTGCTACCGCATTCCATACTAATCCAAATGACGCAGAATCCGCGCACCTCCCAAGTGGGATGCCAGTTAACAAGCTTGGCTTTACTTAGATAGTGCGCGCACTTAGTCGGCTTGTAAATACACCCAAACAACCATCACATTGGTGACGGAATAATAAGACTCGCATTAAACTGAAGGTTCAAATGGCCTGGTGATAAATCGCTATTTGAAAAGGATTTTATCGAGTAAATCACTAAGGCCCAACTAGACATCCAGTCTGCCAACTGGCTCATTGGAAGAAGAGCATTTCGGCCCATTTCTTTTATTGAATATTTCAAACAGCCTTTGGTGGGCGAGAGCGAACTCTTCATTACTATGACCATTCAATAATCTGATGTCTTACGAATGGCAGTTTTCATGGGAACAATCTACACCAGGGTTATTAATAGTACCTGAAAGTCTGGTGTCGGATAAGGGCATGCAGACTTATGAAATATAAATGTAGATGGAAAGCATTCGTTCGAGGCCGAAGAATGAGAGGGTAAGGTATCGTCGAATTAGCGGAACCGGGCCCCCTAAAAATTTTCCCCTCTTCGTAACGCCGATAAACCTACTATATCTAATCACGCTGTTAGCTGATATGCATTTTCAGCAGAGGACCAAAACAAGGGGACAGACGGAGCAGCTCATTATTTCTACAGGCTAGATATGCATCGCCAACCGGCTAAGACGGGCTTAGGGAAGCCCGAAATGGCGGCACAGTAGGAATGTGGCTTAAGTCGGAAAAAATTAACTTAAGGAGGCTGATGTTAATAAGGTCGAAAGTCGATAAAATTATATTTCTAACCTGGTCGAGGTTCAGATGAGGGCCAATCTGGAGCGCCCACTTATCCCTGATATAATGGCACAAGAGCTCAACACGCAGACAGATGCATGAGAAATGGGGCAGATAGGAATAGAAACATATGGCAAGAATGCCGGGGTCAAATTTGCATCCAGACTAAATGGATTAAAGTGCTAAGTAGAGGGCTCTAAGGAATACAGCATTGGTTCATAAACTCAAGCATATATATTAAGAACAATGGTTAACTTGTAATATCTATACTTAACGAATAAAACGAGCTAAGGCGATAATTAATCACAAGGTACTGGAGGCTATGAGCTTTTCTCGTCAAGGTATTCCAAAGTCCCGTCACGACGCATTCTTACAGGAACCTCATAATGAGTAAATCCAATAGACTAAAAATGAAATTAAGTAGCATTTACCTTGGAAACATCCCAGCTCTTGTTATACATCCTATCGGCCCAGCGGTCACGCCTCGGAATTTTCCCACCACCCAAACTGAGGTAATTATAAACAAATAGTTACTTAAGATCCGGATTTAAAAACGAAGAGTGAAGGGTATAGAACAACCCCAATGAAAGGGCAGAGGCACCGATAAAAAGCAGCATTCTCACCTTATAGAAGGGTAAAAACACCCTAAAAAACCTACAGATTTATCTCTGAAAAGATGTTTTAATGCTGCCTCATTAGATCTGAATAATCTTTCATTACGCTCATGGATCAATTTAGTATGAGGGGAGGCAAACGACATAATTAACGGAAAACTGCCAGCAGAGTAAACAAAAAATCCGCCAGGCTACGAAGACGACACTAAAATGTTCATTCAAAAAAAGAAGACAACTCATGCACTTTTATTTTAATTATTAATTAATTTAATGTTCTTGAATTGGTTGGTTAAATATTTAAGTTGCTCTCTCCCCATCTGGCCTTGATGTCTACTTCTCTAGCTAAAGACAAATTTTTGATTAAGGAATCTTTGGCTTCCCCTAGGATTCGGCACTATAACACAGATAATGATTTGGAATCTAAATCTATCAGGATATGCAATGGCACACACTTCACACCCGATAAAATTAAATCTTCCGACGGTTTTGTTGGATTTTCTAACCTGCCAAATCAGGTATTATCCAAAATTTTCTATTTTTTCAAGATTTACAGGAGGGCAGTCCGACGTGGATTCGAATTTAATATTATTGTTCTCGGTGAATCAGGGCTAGGGAAGTCCACCTTTATCAATTCTCTCTTTTTGAGCGATGTCTACAACTCTGAGTATCCTGGCCCCACTATGCGCCGAAAAAAAACCGTTTGTGTGGAACATACTTCATTTACCATGAAGGTACAACGTATTTATTCGAATGTATCTTAAGGAGAATGGAGTTAATCTTAAGGTTACCCTTGCGGACGTTCCTGGTTTCGGGGATTCCTTAGATAACAGCAAGTGCTGGTCTCCAGTTTTAGACTTCCTTGATAGCCGTTTTGATGATTTTATGACTTTTGAAGGAAAGGTTTCTCGTCCAACTAGTTGCATTCCTGATGGCCGAATCCATGCTTGTATATATTTCTTGGCTCCTACGGGTTAGTCTTATTAATTTCGGCCTTTATTCTTTTAGAATTCGTATAAACCTAATAATTTGCTAAATTGAGTATAAATGGCATTTTATTATTATGTCTATTATCTTGATTTTGCATGAATGCCTAGTAATGTCTATAATAGGCATAAAGCATATTTTTGACTTCAATTCTGCTCGGATTTCAAAGTTTTCTAATAATATTAATAATACGAGCTAATTGAACGATCAGTATATTATTTAACGCTGTTAAAGTTGCTCTAGTTTAATAAGTGTTGTGCAAAATCTCCATCAATAACTAATGAGTTTGTCCTTCCGCCTAGCCATATTCGTCATTTTACGTTTTAGAAAAAGCCATTCCCAATATTTTGTTTGGGTTGTCTTGAGTAAACATGTTATCACTGTTGGTGTCATTTATTATTTATTATACTCCTGTATTTAACGAACCCTATGCAACCCACTTTCAGTATGCTTTACTTCTTCTAATCACTGGCGTAATCTCAATTTTATCTACCCAGAATTCGTACATATATTTTAATGCGTTACTTGTTCTTGTTTAAAAATCCATTATAGGTCATTCCCTCAAGTCTTTAGATTTGGAGTGTCTCAGAATGATTCACAAGAAAGTGAATATTATCCCGGTCATAGGAAAAGCTGATGCACTCACTCCCGAGGAGTGCAAAAATTTTAAAAAGTCAATTCTCGATGATCTTAGGAATAATTGCGTGCAAATTTACGATTTTTCCATTCTTGAGAGTGTTGCAGCTTCAGGTAAATATTTGAAATTATATTCGGTTCTTACCTGTCTTATTGACTTTATGGAGAGTTACCAATTAAGGTAAACTTTTAAACCTAATATTTAATGATCGTCTATAAAAAAGATTTTCAAAGTCCTTTTTTAAATCTTTGCTTTAGCTAGAGGGCCGAATAGGAGTCCCTTAATGACAAGTGATTCGCTTCGAGAATCAATAAGCTATGCAATAAGAATAGCAGGTTTTTGCTCCAGTATACGGCTCGCGTTTTATATTAAGCAAATATTAAATATACAAATCAATGAATCAGTTATAAATGATCTGAATGGAATTTATAATATA